TTGGAAGTACATTAAGAAAATGTGTTTTAATACTAATCTAATTTTAATCTAAATAACCATCTAGCTTCAATAGTTCAGTGCGAAAAAGACTTCACTCATGGCTATATGGATGTGACCAAATCAACAGTTTTAGTTTTAAATTTGTGAAAACATAAACCGTATTGAACATACTAAACAAAATAAAAAACAACTCATCAGCTAGGCATGATAGACTCTCAGCTTATTTAATCAATTGGTTGGCAACAAATCTCTAGCAACAAATCTAACCATCATTTTAAATAAATCTATAGATGAGGGTATATTTCCTGAAATCTGGAAAAAAGCTTATACTATAACAATATCAAAGAGAAAAGGTAGGAAATCTGATTTGGAAAACTACCACCCTATCTCAGTTTTACCATTACCTTCAAGAGTTTACGAAAAAATAATATGCAGACAACTATCTGAATATAGTGAAGCTAAAAACTTAATATCAATCCAGCGATTTGGATTCAGGAAGAATTCAAACTGTGAAACTGCATTAATAACAACAACTAAATCTTGGTTATGGTTATGTTTAACTTCTGGTATGACTTGTTAAATGAAGGAAAACTTATAGGCACCCTATTAATATATTTGACAAAAGCATTTGATAGTGTTTCACATCAGAGTCTACTAAATGAGCTTGCTGAAATTTGACTCAGCCAAAAAGCTGGTATACTTTTTTTAAATTACCTAACAAGAAGGGTTCAGAGGGTGAAAAACATAAATATGATTACTCAATGCAAGCCGATAACAAGAGGCGTACCTCAAGGTGGTGGCCTTAGCCCTGAACTATTCAAAAGCTACATAGGAGATCTTCCATAATCATTAACAACTGAGTCTTATTTATTTGCAGACTACATTACCCTATCAGCTGCAGACAGCTCACTACAAGTTGTCACTGATAACCTACACATTAAAATAAAAATATCGAGGTTCAACCAGAACTCATGTTAAGCTATTAGGGGTCACTATAGATCAACATCGCCAATTCAAAGAACAAATTAATACAACCGTTAAAAATGCCTTGCTATTATGGAAATATTAGCAAAAGCATCTGTCAGGCTTCTGAGGGAACTTTTATATATAGCGTATAAAGAACTTATATGGAGCCAATTAGAATATGCTAGCATGTAATACCTTGGTAAACCCAAAGCGCAATTAAAGTGGCTTGACGTAATATAAAAGCAGTGTGCCCGAATTATCTGTCATAAACCTAAGAACACTCATTTGGCTGCCCTTTCGGACGAACTAAAGCTGTGCACTTTAAGGGAGAGAAGAAATGTTTATGTACCAAAAATATTCAAGTCAACATTGTTGGGAGTATGTCATCCATCAATGGCTAACATGTTTAAAATAAATGGTGACTCAAACCTTATTATTAAAAAAGCGGCGAGCAAACTAGAAAGTAAAGGTTTCAATATTATAGGGGCTAACATATTTAACAGAGTTGTTTCCTAATATATCCATTTTGTTATGTCATTTGCATATTCTAATCAAGCAGTGAAAGAGCAACCAGAAATAAAAAAGTTTACTAATTTTATTATATAAATTATAAAGCGATTCTAATTTTAAAGGCAAAGTTGTTCAACTGTTATTGAGTTTAAGTAATAAATAATAATAATAATAACCTGTTGCTGGAAATAATGCTTTAGCTTGCTAATTTTTTCAATGATTCTGTATATTGTCTGATCCTATTCAAAAATACAGATTTGCAAGGTGAAGTTCTGTAATAAGTATTGTTGTGATATAATTAAGATGTGTTGAATTTTAGGCAATTCCTAGTCATTTTAGGAAATGTAAACAATGATCCATAAGATTTTAATGTTTTCTTAAGATATAAATGCACTGTTTATTTAAAACCTAATTGAACAAATATTTTAAAGTTTGTAATATTTTTGTAATTCATTGTCAAATATGTTATTTAAAATCTACATATTATATATTTTATATAATTTTGTTAAAAAGAAATATGTATATTATAAATTTTATCTTTTTAATGAATGCATGCTCTCAAAGAAACACCCTCAAAGTTGCCAAAACACGTTGCATACCTGCTCTCTAGGTAGCCAAAGGTAGCCAAAGCATTTTGCATGCATGCTTTATAAGGTAGCCAAAACAAAAATGTTCAAAATAAATTTTTATTGCATTCTTTATTGTAAAAAGAATTGTTATTTGTTCTATTTGATTTTGGTATTTTTATTTTAAAAAACCTTCTAATGTTTGCTGTATCTGGCTATGTCAGTTTTTTTTTTTTTTGGTAGCTTAATTTACCTCCATAAGGCTGACTTTTGAGCGCCTCTCTAGTAGAATAGACCATTTTATTACCCATCTCTCAACTCTATAATTCCAAGACATGAACCTTGACAATCATCTTATATTAACTTGTCTTATTATCCCTCATTTTACACTACCTTGTGTTATTATCACTCATTCCACATTAGCTTGTGTTATTATAACTTATCCCACATTTCCTCATGTTGCTATCACTTGTATACCCATAATACCTTGTTTTATTATTACTTATCTTACATAATCTTGAGGTATTGTCACTTATTTTACATTACCTTGTGTTAATACCCCCCTTTTCCATACCAAATATATATTTACAAAATCATTTTCCTGATTAAATAATCTAGCAAATTATTGATCTCTTTTTTTTTTTTTTTTTTTTAACATTGTTTTAGATTTCAATGAATGTTTTATTTTAAGTGAACCAATAATTATAGCAATCCTACTTTTTTTCTGTCAGTTTCAAATCTCTCACTAAATCATTAAAACTCAGTTTTTGTGCTTTTAAATTTTCTAGATAACACTACTAATTGATTTTTATTTTACCCGGAATCTAACTTTATTTCGTTTTCAACAGACTGAGGTGGTGTAATAACCATGTATTGGTTATTACACCACCACTTGTTAATCGGCTAAAATAAAGTAAACATGTTGTAGTTATAACCAGAAAAAAAATGCTTTTTGCTATTGACATACTATGTTTACTGTATATTTAAAATATTTCTTTTTCATTTTTAAGATCCTAGAGACAAACAACTCCTAATTAAAAGCATGTAAGTTAAGCAGCAACACTTGAAATATGTAGTACTTCAAGCATTTGATAATTTAAAAAAAATCATTGAATAATCATAAAAGTCATAAAACTTTTAGTCAATTTTTTAAGAATTTTTGTTGTGCGCAACATTTATCTCAGGAATATCTAATCCAGGTTTTTAGCTTTAGATATTATCATCATTTCAGTCATTTCAAAATTTATAGTTGGTGGTTGGCATGTGATACAACCTTTTGAGAATGTTTATTAAAATCATATAACAGGAATTAGGGGGAACTATTAAAATTATTTTGGTATTATTAGTAATGTTAGCGTCTATATATAATAAACAAAAATTTATTTTTTTTAAATGAAATGGTTTAAATTAAACATTATTATCTTATTTTATCTAAATTTATCTTTTTTATCTTTTGTTTCAGCCGCTGCAGAAAGAATTACTGATAGTAAATAGTTTTCTTTTTATTTATTATGCATTCTGTAGTTTGGATTTTTTTTAAAGTAATTAACTTGTTTTTTTATTTGTGTTGTGTAAATGTGTACGTGGCTAACTATTTTATTCTTAACTTATTTCTGCCTAAAACTTTGATATAAATTTTGCTGAATATTTCCATGTTTCAGTGAATTTATAGAAAATTTCTTTTTTCTAAAATTTCATTTTTTTCCAAATAATGTATAATTTACATATAGAGAATGAGAGATATTGTAAGTTCTTGTTCTGCCACAAAATAATATTGTACACTGAACAAAATTATTTTGTATATTGTACTTTTCCGCCGTAAAATAATTTACTTTTGGATTGCATTATTGTTTTATCTTTTAAAGAAGCATAGGTATGCACAGATTAATTTTATTTTAGATTCCCCTGTCATAATTGGTACTTCAGGAGTTGTACTTTTGGTTGTCATTGCTGTTGTTTTAATTTTATTTTTAAGAAGAAAAAGAAGTCTCAGAACTGTAAAAAGAAAACTTTTGAGGAGTAAGTAATACCTATAATTTAGAATAATATAGTATTTTTTTGTCTGAGTTAAGATTTAAAAAAAGGTTTAAATAAGACATAGCGTACAGCAGTGGCGCTAGGCAAATTTTGGACGTTGGTGAAATTATCTTTGTGAGGCTGCTTCAAGTAAAAAAAAATAATAATGAAAACAAACCTTGATTTGCCCTAATCTCCTGGCTTGAATTTTTATTCAGTACTATAATATATTGAAAGTTATAAACACTACTCAGAACTGATATTGTTAATTATTTTAAACATAATAATTAACACTTTGTTTTGATAAAGTAAAATCTCTATAATTTAAATTTTCTTAATTCGAAAACCTCTATAATTTGATTAAATGCAAAGTCCGTGATACGCACTTAAGAAGCTCTTACGTTAAAGTTTACACAATTCGAATCTCTATCATTCGAAAACCTCCACTATTCGAATGGATTTTTCAGATCCGGTAGTAAGATTCTCTCTGTAAATCAAACTTTTTTAATTTCTGACTTGTAAAAAGTTTGTTAAACCATCGAACTCTTTTTTCAAGTTTCAATTGTTTTGAGTTTTTGAAAAATGATTAGCGTGAATTTTCTTCTATTTAAAAATAATAATTGCATCAAAAAGACTGCATAAAGAAAACAATTTAAAGCATAAATACAAAGCTCTACTGGAATTGGAGAAAAGAAAAGCAAACAAAAAGTTTCGAAAAGCTTTGATATTCCACAAATACTCTTTCAACCTGGAAAAAGAATAAAGAAAAAATCTTTTACGCTTTTTATGAGGGGTAAAGTTGATAATAGAAAACTAAAGGGGTTAAATTAATTTCTAATTTTTTTCAATCCAATTTTTATGATTAACGATTTAACAATATGTATGATGATTTTACAGCTTTTTTTCTTTAATTGAGTTAAGGAAACAAAATAAATATTTTCATGAATTGGACATTTGACAATCTGGAAACTTGCAAAATCATCAAAGTTACATTCAAACATAGGTACAAATTATGTCTAAGCAATTATATATATTTTTTTGTATATCTTATGGTATATCTTTCTATTAAACATTTTTGGAGAGGCAAGGTTTTTTAATGAGAAGATGATCTCTCCATGGCTCAAAACCACACCGCCTACAATTCTCTCTCGATACCCACTTTGAAGTATTTTTAATCCCAATTAATTTTGCCTATTCTACAAGTGTTTGACTAAAAAAAGTTTACATTTGAAAAATGAAAAGTGCACAGGAGGTAAGCAGAAGCAATTCTACAAAAAAACTTAGTTCCTAAAAAAAAAGGTCTTCAAAACTAAACCTCACCCGACTGAATTTGTGTCAATTAGCCAACTATATTTCTTTAAATACCGACTATAATTTGTAAATCACCTTTTTTGGGGGTTGTCATCCCCAAGATGTCATACCAGCTTAACTTGAATCAGTTGCCATAATTTACTTTTACTATTACTTAATTTCATATTACGCACTATTTACATTTAATAAAATCTCATACCACACGTGTACAACAATAAATTCAAACGTTCACATTTCGTTCAAAACTGCTTTACAGTCGCTGAGAGTTTATTAATATTAATTATTAACGATAACATTATCGAATTGCAACCGTTTAATATAGCTTATAATGCTCCTATTCTACTACCCTACATTATGTCTCTGAAGGAGGTTTTATCTTTATTTTTAATTTAGATTTTATAAGTTCCCAATGTTTGCTTGACTTCGGAAAGAGAACATAGATTTAACTAATAAAGCCGAAAAATGTCTTAGCTGTTGTAGAAGAATTAGCTGCATCTATTAAAAGTAAATTCCAGCAATGACATACTCACGGTGTAAAGAATGCTCTTGGGCTAATTTTGAGTATTTTTGTTCTGACACCTTTATTAATGCCTTTCCTGCTGGCGCCATTATCATGTCCCTTCTAGAACCGAATATTATAGAAACGACAAAAATATTATCTATGAAAATATTAATCTTTAATGCTTTACATTATATAAAAAAAGTTCAAATTAATTATAAGCAGTAATTTGATTCTCGCTTCTAAAAAGTTCGACTCTTGCAGTTTTTAATGATAAATTAATCTGCAGAGTGACGTAATGGGAACAAAGCAAGGTGATAGTCGAAACGATACAACATGGTTAGGTCCCAGAGCCGGTAAACAATAATAAACTATGTTTTAAAAATTCTTTTAAATTATCAGGAGCAGTTAGAATAAGATTGTTGCTTAGAAAAAAATATTTATATAAAGGTGAAGTAACATTATATTGTATTATATTATATTCAGGGCCGGCCTTACGAATTGCGGGGCCCAATTTAACGAATGCTTGCGGGGCCCACCTGATTTTTTTTTTTTTTACAATAACTACTGTTAATAAAATTATTGAAACACATTTATTATACAAAAAAACATAACTCCACAAACGAATCAATAAACAATAATAAAAATATTACAATGAATTTAAACAAAACAGTTCTTGTTATTGTCATAATAAACAAATAATATATAAGTCAAAGTGGATCTTTCTTGCTTTTTTGTTTGCGAAATCTTTTAGAATTTTTTCATAATTAATTTCTCTACTTATAGGAGATTCAATTGATATTAGTGCCAAATTGTTTAGTCGTTCTTGGTTAATTACTGACCTAAGGTAGGTTTTAATTAATTTTAGTTTTGAAAAACTTCTTTCACCGGAAGCGACTGTAACTGGAATTGTCATCAGTATTTTTAGGGCTATGAACAAATTTGGAAATGCAGTCGACCTATCATTACAAGCCAAATATTTAGAGTTCTTTGGGTTTTTGTTGTTGAACGGGCAGTATTGGCTTAATTGCCTCCATTTCTTCGGAAAGCATGAACACTTCTATATCTTTTGCAATGTCTGTCAAAGCAATTTCTAGGTCGGCTGAATGTTTTCTGAGATCTTCTTTAGACATATTCTGAAAATTATATAGAAATCCAAAAAGTTTATGGTGTTCTTTCATCTGCATAAACCGTGGTTGAAGAGTTTGCAATGCTTTGTCTACAACTTAATTGAAAAAATTTACCCGGAATTCTGTCTTGGGGTCTAAAATTGGTTCGTCAGAAGATTCATTAAGAAACATTTTCTTTTTCTTGTAACAGCGCTTCTGTTGAAATATGGGTTCAACTTCTAACTCATTTGCAAGCTTTTTGGCATCAATCAATGCAGCTACAAAGCCTGTCTCTCGGTATGTCTTCAACCAATTAAACAATTTTTCAAAAGATGTCAGCCCCGCGGCAATGTCTATGGTATTGCTTTGAAGTTCCTTGCTAGTAAAATTTACTTGAAACAATAAAGAGTGCCAAAAACATAGTGCAACCAGAAACCTATAATTTGTCATTTGGCTTACTAATAATTCAGCCTCACTTTTCCCTTGAGCATCATTTGTGCTTTTTGCTAGTTCTTCTAAAGCATCACACACTTCTGCGGCTTGAAATCGTACAGCTTTAACACTTTCCATTCTACATTCCCATCTTGTTTCTGATAATGGTTTAACAGACTGGCCTTTCACATGCTTTTTAAAAACAGTCCATCTTTTTGTAGATGAAGCAAAAAGGGTGTAAATACGCTGCAGGGTTCCAAAAAATGTCATGGCATCTGAACACGTTTTAGCCATATCTCCTAGAACAAGATTATAATTATGACACACGCAAGGAGTATAGAAAGCTCGTGAATTTCTTTCCAAAAGTCGTGCTTGCACTCCAGAATTGTGCCCTTTCATATTAGCTCCATTGTCATACCCTTGTCCTCTGATGTTTTCAACATCTAGTCCTAGCATTTCAATTTCTTTCACAAGAGTGTTAAATAAATTTTCACCAGTGCTGCCCTCAACTATAATAAACTTTATAAAATGTTCATAAATTCCTGCTGGGACATCATCTGAGTGCGTGCCATCAGCGACATATCTTAGCACCATTGACATCTGTTCCTGATGGCTCATATCAGGAGTGCAGTCAAGAATTACTGCAAAATACTTTGCCGACTTAATTCTAGCAATAATTTCCTGTAGAACAGCTTGGCCTATAGTATCAATAATTTCATCTTGTATGGTCTTGCCTAAATAATGATTATGAATGTCTTTGTTAATAATTTTCTGTATATGATCTTGCATAACTGGATCAAATTTTCCTAGCAATTCAATGACGCCTAGAAAATTGCCATTATGTGGACTTCCAATTTGTTCTTCAGACCCACGAAATGCCAAGTTCCTTTCTGCCAAAAACTGTACAGAAGCAGCAAGTCGCTCAAAGACTTGATTGCAGCGTTTTGTTTCCTGTCTTATTAATTTTTCATTTAATGTATCAACAGTTAATCCAGTAGATAACCTTTGCTGCAGTTCATAGCAATTAAGTGTACATTGCAAATGTTTTTTTGATTTTTCATGATCCTCTAATCTTGTATGAATATTTGACCAGCTGTCAAATCCAGAAGTAGCAAGTGCAGAATCAGAATTTGTGTCAAAAAGTTTGCAATAGTAACAGTAAACTTTATCAAATGATTCAGAATATATTAGCCATGGTCGTTCTATAACTTCCCCATTTTTTAATTTTCTTTTACAGTGAAATTTCGAAAAATGTAACCCTTTTTCATTTTGCGGAAAATTTTCTACAGTGATCTTAGGGGGTCTTTCGTTCACTAAATAATCTCTGACATTTTAATTTATTTTATTTGGCCATGTAGCAGGGTCATCTTTTATCTTTAAAATATCACATAGTGCTGGGTTTGAATTTTCTTCTCTTGATTCTGAAATATCCTAATTATCCTTGTATTTTGTTGATGTATTTTGTTGATCATTACATCAAGAAAGAAAACTACTACTAGCTTCTGATGTAATTTCTTTAGAAATATTTGTTTCACTGTCGTCTGACTCGACTTGTTTGTCTGATTTTTCAGTTTCAAACAGATCTACTGATTTACTCAAATATTTATATAACGCACCTTTTTCTTTTTCTGCTTCAGTTTTCTTTACCTTAGCTAAGGTTCTCTTCATGTTACCACTTAGATATTTTCTACCGACGTCCCTTTGTCTTTTACTCATATTTTGGCTTGTGTTCTTCAAAACTAAAAACTTATCTCTTTTTTTAGTACTAAATTGCACAATAAAATAAAATACTTTAATTAAACTAAAATAAATAAAAAATCCCCCTTACAAAATTAAAAGTAAAATTAACAAATGTAAGCAATTGATTACTGTAAATATCTTAATATAAATAAACAAACATTTAATATTAAGATTATTTATTAGACTTGAAAAAAAGTACTCTTAAAATTATCCAATAAAATTTATACTGTCATAAATATAAAATATTTACTGAAAAGCGAGAAAAGTTTGCGTTAAACAAAAGTAAATAAAACTAATAGTAAACAAAATGAAAAATAATTATAGCATAAACAAACAAAAAATATATTACAAACATTTCAAAAGTAAATACAGCTTAATCTTTAACAATATAAAAGCTGCCATGTTCATTGCTTGCCTCGTGAATTTTCGGAAATAAGTACTTCTGGAACTTTCGAAAGTAGATTGGAAACTAATATATTTTATACCGGAATAACTAAGATAAACTAAAAATAACAATAGACGTTACCATGCGCATTAAACGTTCAACGTTAACTGTACGAATTATATTAAGATTGATAGAAATTTATAAAAAAAAATTACTGCCATTTATAATGATATGCTATAAATTGCGGGGCCCTTACCAAGCGCGGGGCCCTATTTGGAGCAATCGGTCAAATCGGCCTAAGACCGGCCCTGATTATATTATATATATATATATCAAGGCCTTCTTAAACAGGCCGCGACAGCTCATTTTCCGTAAAATTAGCGAAGGCCGACTTTTTTACGGTTAAAATTATTTTATCTGTGCTTTTGTAAACAAACTTTAGAAACAAATAAAGAGCTTTATTAGGACAAAACATTTTGATTGAATTTCGAAAGCAAATATTGTAGGAATTTTTTTTACGTTTAGAAATAAGTTAATTACAATAAAAATTTAAGGAGTTTAGCTAAAAATGACTAAATCTCGTTTTTATAACTATATGTTTATTTTAGCTGTTTAACACTTGTAATACAAATAATAAATTTTTTGATAAAAACAAACAAATATATTAACTTTATTTTATCAAAATTATTTTGACTTTTTTGACTCAAAATATTTTATTTTGAAGTTGAAAGTTTTGCTTGTTTTATTAAACATTCCTTCCCAAAATCTTCAGAGTGTTTTTTACAATAATTGTTTAAAAAAATGTTTGCCAAAATGAAGCAAACTTTTTTAACACTTTGAACAAGCAATTGAAATTTACTAATGCAGTTAATAAAAATGTCAATTGATCCTTTTTTGCACAGCAATGGTGAAACTTTATTCACAAGTGTCACTTCAAATATAAAAAAACAATAAAAAAAAAAGTAGACTAAATTGTCAGAAGGTTCTCTTAGTCTTCCCCTGTTCAAAGAACTGATTAAAGTTCCATATTTTTGAAAGATATCGAAGGTGTCTGTTTTATCACAGTGGTGGTGAGCAGGAGGAAACATTGTAAAATCTGTATACTTTTCTAGCAACTTTCTAGTTTTGCTGATTCTAAATTTTTATATAACATTTTGCACAGTTATCAGATATGTGCCACCTGACCCCTGCCGATATTTCCCAAACTGTTTTTCTAGTGCATCTGATTGCATATGTCCTAACAATACATAAGATACACCGCAATTCAACAAATACTTGGCACAGCTTGCTAATCTTTTAGAAGTTTTTTGCAAAGCACTTGCAGTATCCATTGTTAGCTTTTTCTCTCTTAATTTTGAATTTACGCATTTCAAATTTTCAGCAAAATACGAAATATAGTTCTCTAAGAAATCTATTTGCCAATCATTGACTGAAGTAATAGGCTTTCTTCGAATATCATTTAATCTAATATCTAGACCTTTTGCTTTACTGTTGACAATAAGCCACCACTTAACAACTGTTTCAATAAAAAGTGCAGTATCTTCAGCTTCAGGAAATTTTACACGTAATGTTGCAACTGTTTCACCACAAAAAACTTTAAGAACTAATCCAACATTTTGTCGTTCAATTGGTTTTGGTGACACAGCTTTTTGTGTTAATATAACTTGCTCGCTTAGAATCTGTTTCATTATTAATAACATAACTAACAGCATTCTCCAGTTGAGAATAATATTTAATAACTCCTTTGTTTAAAAAAGACAGTTTAATTTGTAAAAGTTGGCTATATCCAGTAAAATAAATATCTCCAGAATCTTCTAAAGTTGTATATATTGAAAACTTAGGTACTGGTCCACAATGTTCATATGATATTAAAGATATATTTTTTTCTTTTTCAACAAAATAAAATTTTTCTTCACAGTTATTTATTATTGACTTCAAATTTTTTACAATTGAATTAAATTGAATAACGTCCATTTTTTTGAAGTTTTCGAACTCATCAGGTAAATTATTTCTTTCAGAGCATATTAACCCAGTGACATCTTGTTTTCTAGACACTATTGTAATACAAGACACTGGTATACCTTTAAAGACTGATGGAGGATGCACTGGAACAAAACTACCACCTTTGACTTTTTTTTAATTCATGCATCTTTAGGCCAGTGCTGAGCACAAATTCGCTTATAATCTGTAAACACAAAGTTTGCATTTGGAAGTTTTTTAATCCATAACTCGCGATCCTCGGATTTAAAGATGAATCTATACATTGTGACATAAATATTATCTTTTACTTTTGATTTGTAATTTGAGGAGCAACCATAAACGCAGCATTTATTAGGCATTTTACGAGTTTAACTATTATAGTTTAAATCAAACAACATTGAAACTATACTTCTCCGTAAAAAAGTCGGCCTTCGCTAATTTTACGGAAAATGAGCTGTCGCGGCCTGTTTAAGAAGACCTTGATATATATATATATATATATATATATATATATATATATATATATATATATATATATATATATATATATAATATAGTAATATTAGTAAAAATCTGATTTAAAAACTATATAAAAGTTAAAACTTAACAAAGTAATAAATTTTAATTTTGAATAATTCATAAGTGTAAAATCTAGCAATAATGGTTTGTAATGAAGCTATGACAGTGTAGTACAAAATAAAAAAATACTTTTAGATAAAAGATAATACAAAATGATTATAATATTATAAAATAATCATTATGAGGAAAAAATTTTTTATGGTTTTTTAGACTCGAGCAATCCTGAATTAGAGGTTAAAAAGCAAATGTATGATAATCCATTATTCAGTGCAACCATGAACAACTCAGCTTACGATTCACAGTAAAATAAATACGAAATCCAGAAGTGCGACGATATTTTTTGGAATATAAATCCATCTCTCTAATTAAAGAAAACTAAAACAAATAAAAATTTAAATATTTTCTTACTCTAGTATTTATATTTTGTCTTCTACGATTACAAAGTTTATATATATAAACTACAAAGTTTATATATATAAATTACTAAGTTTATATATAAATTAGCCCAAACATATTTTTTATGTATAAACTTGTCCCGTTATATTTTTTTATGTATAAACTCGTCCAATCATTTTTTTTTTTAATGTATAAACTTGACCCAGCTTAATTTTATATATATAAACTTGCCCCACCATAATATTTTATGTATAAACTTGTCCCGCCATATTTTTTATGAGCATTTTATGCAATAGTACTATTTTAGTATGGTTTTATATATGAAGTTTTATTTTAGTATGATATATGATTTTATATATGAAGTTTTCTTCCTATTATAATGAACGATTTTTTTTTTGAATTGCGTGAGTTTGTATGTATTTTTTAGACGTTTTACGTATTTTTTAAACGTTTCACGTATTTTTTAGACGTTTTACGTATTTTTTAGACGTTTCACGTATTTTTTAGACGGTTCACGTGTTTTTTAGACATCTTACGTATTTTTTAGACGTTTCACGTATTTTTTAGACGTTTTACGTATTAAATAAAATCATTTTTAATTACTTAATTTACAAGTTTTACAAATCTGAAAACAGTAACAAAAAATTTATTTTCCTTTAATAATCTTTAGAATAATTTATATGATTAATTTATATGATTTATATCAATAAATCAATAATGATAATAATAAAAATGACAATAACGATAATAATTGTATGCATAATTATAATTTAATAATAATAAGGTTGATAAAGATTGTCACTCTTACCTATAATTTTTTTTAAGTTTTATTGTTTAATTATTAGGAGGCAAAATTAATTTCTTGTATAGAAACATTCCTCATCGACGACATTGACATTGACGTCTTAATCAAAATTAATTAGTAACAACAAGTAGGTATTGAAGTGTATCAATGAAAAGTTGCAAACATGAAAAATTAAAATCGGACTGTCCTTTCAACATACACACTGTTTAATTTGTGTTTTATTAAATTTGCGTTCAAAGAAAATGTTAGTTTAAAACATATCCTTTAAAGTTACCGAATATTATATTAATTAAAAGGAAACCAAATATTATATTAATGAAGAATATCGCAATATCGTTTGGATACAAGAAAGAAAGACAGGGCTATTACAAGAGCTTTTTATAATTGCATCATAAACAATCTTGTTACTGCTTATATTATATATCTTAATTTTCAAGTCTTATTTAAGATAAAGTATCTTCAGTATTTTTTTTTTTTTTTTTTTTGTTCTTATACATACGCCTCCCCACAACAGTATTTATTTTTGAAAAAAGTGTACACGCCTAAAATAATTATTCTTGCAAGGTATGATTATAGTGTACTCAAAAAAGTAATTCACAAAATTTGAAAAGCATGTCCTTAAAAAAAAAAGGGTGGTCATTGAGTGAGAAAAAATTTGTGTATTTTTCTCTCCATAAGTTATACAGATAACCGGTTTAGAATGAACCTTGTAGAAATACTTATTTAAGGCATAGATAAGTAGCTAATAAACTAACTCTTTAATAAATACCATTATTTAAAATAACATTTTGTTTCATATCAATAAATCAAAGAATTTTGTAAAAATCAATAAAAATTAATATTTTAGTTTAAATAGTTTGTCAGCCGATGTAGACTGAACATAACACTGATCAACATATATTGCGTTATATTACAGTATATTGCGTTATATTACAATATATATATTGCGTTATATTACAATATATTGCGTTATATTACAATATATTGCGTTATATTACTATATATTGCGCTATATTACTATATACCGGTTTTTACATCCATTTAAAACAATCATGACAACCATTTAAAACAACAATGACATTCATTTAAAACACCGCGACAATCAATTAAAACAATGAGATTTTCAACTAAAACAATCGTGACTTTCAATTAAAACATTTAACGCATGCGCAATCTTAACATTCTACATTATTTTTAAAAAAAGGTTTTATTTATATACTTATTTATTTAAATTTATTTTTTATTGATATCATATTAATTTATTTTAATTTAATGCAATTTATTTTAATATTAAACGGATGACATACTTGTTTTAAATGGATGAAAAACCCGGTAAGGCGTACACACATGTATACATATTTATTAAGCTTCAATTATTCCATGCCGTTTAGGTACACATTTTTACATGGCCTTATCTTATTGGTAAAACAACCATAACGTTCATTTAAAACATCCATGATAATCAACACCTTTTTATAATGTTTATTTTGTCTGAGTCAGTAACTGCGCGTTTAGGTACTTTGGGTAAGGCGTTCTCTTCATACTCGAAAGGCCGTGGTTCGAATATCCATTTGGACAATTTTACTTCTTTTTCTTTAATATCTCGTTCCTCGTATGTTTTGCTGTGACGCCATTCCTTTATATAGAATAGATATCTCTCGACATCAAACCTCTCAGTGTATTTTCTAAGTAAGGCGTACACACGTTTACCGGGTTTCGCATCCATTTAAATATGTCATCCGTTTAATATTAAAATAAATTGCATTAAATTAAAATAAATTAATATGATATCAATAAAAAATAAATTTAAATAAATAAGTATATAAATAAAACCTTTTTTAAAAAATAATGTAGAATGTTAAGATTGCGCATGCGTTAAATGTTTTAATTGAAAGTCACGATTGTTTTAGTTGAAAATCTCATTGTTTTAATCGATTGTCGCGGTGTTTTAAATGAATGTCATTGTTGTTTTAAATGGTTGTCATGATTGTTTTAAATGAATGTAAAAACCGGTATTGCGTTATATTACTATATATTGCGTTATATTACTATATATTGCAATATTATTGTGTTTTCAATTAAAATTGCTACAAATTGCTCAATAAATTGACAAATAAAAATACAATAAAATTATACAAATGAAATGTCTTTTTAAATGTAATTTAGATGAACTTAATGCACAATAATTCCGATACTTTTCTAATTACCTTTGTCATATTTTTATTTTACATAAGTTCAATGTGTTTATAAGCAGTAACAAGATTGTTGATAAAATATTTCAATTTTATTGTAACTGTATAATACGGAATTATTGCAAGTTAATATGGAATTACTTATATCGGTTTCAACGATTTTGAATGATTTTAATCGATATTTAATTGATATAAAATATATAATTAATATAAAATAGATATAAAATATATAATTAATATAAAATAGATATAAAATATATAATTAATATAAAATAGATATAAAATATATAATTAATATAAAATAGATATAAAATATATAATTAATATAAAATAGATATAAAATATATAATTAATATAAAATAGATATAAAATATATAATTAATATAAAATAGATATAAAATATATAATTAATATAAAATAGATATAAAATATATAATTAATATAAAATAGATATAAAATATATAATTAATATAAAATAGATATAAAATATATAATTAATATAAAATAGATATAAAATATATAATTAATATAAAATAGATATAAAATCTTTTAAAGCTACTTTTAGACTTCATATTAAAACCAAAGAAATATATTAAAGAATTATATTGGAAAATTAAATAAAGCAGAACTTCTAGAATTATATTGGAAAATTAAATAAAGCAGAACTTCTAGAATTATATTGGAAAATTAAATAAAGCAGAACTTCTAGAATTATATTGGAAAATTAAATAAAGCAGAACTTCTAGAATTATATTGGAAAATAAAACATTTTACTTTGATCTTCATTCATTGATTTAACAATTGATTAAAAATCAATAAATCACTCATCTTGTTATTTCAAATCAATTTGAACTTTTTAAATTTTAATCGATTCGGCGCATGTAAAAAATGGGGTTGTTATACATGCACGGAGCAAACCTGTCTGGTGGAGGAATTATTAAAAATTTTGTTAATGGTGTATATTTGCGCAATGAAACCACACTTTTTAATATAAAGTTAGATAGAAGAATTTTACATTCTACAGCTGAGTCTACTTCTTCTTAAGAGGACATCATTAAAAGTAGTGCTCAGCCCGACAGTAGCAATACAGATGATAATGTTAACAATCTGATTGTCACTGGTAGATTTACCCAAGAAACAGAAGAAAATGTAGTATCTGAGCCTGAGAAAAAATCAAATGCTTCCATGTTTAAGTTTTTTAGTTAAAATTCATTAGAAAATTCTTTATTTGATCCACTTACCAACAAAACGTTTAAGTTTTTAACATTATTAAATTTAATGATGAGCAATTCATTGACTGAAATTGCATTTGATTATTTTTAAAGACTTTGCTGGTGTGTAAAATGTAGCCTTCATCGTACGATGTACTTGTAAATGAATATTGCTAAGAAATTGTAAATGAGAAATTGTAAATAAATATTGCTAATAAAATTACCTACCAACTTGGCCCTAAAATAAAATTTTTAGGACTCAGACATCTTCAAGTTTAGTGATTTTTATTCCAAAAAATTTTCTTTACTAGGTAACCTCCTGTTCAAGTTTAGAGAATTAATAAAGTTAAATAAAATTATTTTGTAAACTTATTTATTGAATGACCTGAAGAAGAGGATTACTTTAACGTTTTCAGGTCCTAAAAATGCTATATTTTAACGTATTAAATTTTATTTTGAAAATTTTTATTAGTTTAGTGGCGTAATTTTAAAATAATTAGAAAAACAAAATGCATTTATTATTTTGGGCAAACAAATGCATCTGAAAACCTGAACCAGGGTGCATTCCATATTTTTTTTACAGGATATATACCAACAAAGCCAAAATTTTGAGGCTTTATTAATAAAGCTTCAAATTTGCTCGCCGCTGTATGAAAGAACAACATTTAATAAATTCTTCTCAATGTTTTTTTGTGGAAATCACTCGGAAGTTTATATCTGTAAAAATCACTGAATCTTGAGTAAATTGTTTCTCCTGCCTGTCCGTTGTAAATTCCGAGTGCATATCCATTCTTTCTTCGAAA